GTTGTTAAGAAACGAGCAACACGCGCATGTAGCGGGGAAGTGTTTTCACAAACGGATAGTACTACCGGGTAAAGGGTGATGAACGTCAATCAAAACAGGATAAAAATGGTTAGATTTCGGCTTCTATATATTCCCCACACCTGTAAGAAAATCCGGCATATCGCTCCGTCCCGGCATTGTAGGGACGCGAGGTCAACGGTCTAACGACTACGGCCTGTGTTTACATGGGTACCCCCCACCCTCCCCGCCGCCACCCGCGCCCCCGCCTCTAACCCGTCAATTGAGCATGACGTGGCGCTCTCTCCTGTCAGACCGGTCTTCGTTTTGGTGTTTTGCGACACATTATTCTTCACCGTTTTTGCGGCGTGTTTTGACGTGGCTGCGGTGGCGGGTGCATGCAGGAAGGGACCGGAGAAGCCAAGGGGAGCAACGCCTTCTCCGCGAACAACAAGACCACCACCACGTCGGCGACCACCGTGGAGGTGAGAGAGAGAGCAGCCGCGACACGGGGGAGGGAAGTAGGAGTAGGAGGAGAAATACTGTGTTCACGTGGGGCAAACTCTTTCGCCCCGGGATTTTTAGGAGCGGTTAGGTGAAGAAGTATATAGAAATGCACACGTGTGGTGCCTCTGTAAACGGAGTGGGCATAAAAGCCAGCAAGCCCTAGTAACGAGCACTGCAGCGGTTGGTTTCACGCTTCTCTTTCCCGTCCCGCACCGCCGGGGGGGGGGGCGGGTTGTACGGTTCGCGTTGTTTTTTGCGGCGTTCCACCTCTGCAAGACAGCGCGTTGAGGACTGGGCAGCGTCTCGTCGTTTTTTTAGAGAAGAGAGAGACAGAGAGAGAGAGAGATCAGCAGTCTCGAAGGATGGCCGAAGGTAGTGCTATTCATACGTGGGCGATCGGGGGTTGTGGTGAGAAAGTAGCTTGCAGTTTATATCGAAAGTCACGTTTCACCATCCCTCTGCGTGTTTCGTTTTTGCCCTCTTCTCCACCACCGAGCAACAAGCTTCTCGCCCCGTCCCCCGTCTCCCGTCCCTCCCCCCCATTCTCCGCACGCCTCTCTCGTCTACCCAACACACACCGTATTCCACCTACCCTCAAAAGACCATCACGTGCCCCATGAAGTCGTTCCGCATCCCGGTGTCCACCATGACGATGACGGAAGAGGCTCTCGACCACGCCTTGGAGGTGGACACCCTGCTCAAGGCCGGGCAGTTCCTCGACACCTTCGGCTCCCACGTCTCCAACGGCCGGCACCTCCTCGGGGGAATTTTCTTCCGCACCATGACCATGACCACGGAATCCGAGGTGTGGAAAAAATGCGGCCCGTGCGTTTGTTTATCGTTGGTGTTCGATGTTCGTGGTTCATTTTTTTGCTCTCGGTACTGCTGTCTCCAACAGCGCAGATGCCAGGATGGGACTGAGACGAGATCGGGACGGGCTTTAATAGCAACAGCAACGATGGAAGCTGAGAAGTGCGCTTAGTTTGCGTAACGGTAAGCATTGCTCGCGCCGGTTCAGGGCGGCCGTGGAGCTCCGGCCCCCCCCTGCGTCAGCGTACAACAAATTAACAGAAACCCTCAGGAAGCAAACAATTACGGAATGTTCCTCGACCTCCGCTGCCTTTTCCATGCAACGGCTAAACCAACCACCTTGCACGTTTTTTATTGCTCCCGCGCGTATGTGTCTCTGTGTGTGTGTGCACGCGTGCCCGATGTCCGTTAATCGTCTCCTTCCAGGTGGACACCTCCACCCTCCTCGCCGCCGCCAGCACCCAGATGCAGCAGAGCAGGACCGAGTCCAGCGACTCCACCGCCTCAGGTTTGAGAGCTGTCCTGCCACGTCTTTGTCTTCGCCGACCGACCGATACACTAGAGCATGTCCACCTTTGTATCGTGCGACAGAAAGCGTGTCGTGTTCGTGGCACTAGGATAACTCATAGATCTTGCCGTTTCGACCCACCCTTTCCCCTCTGTCTCTTTCTAGGCCACCCCACCTATTCTTCTACGTATGTACCTTGATTCTTTTTTGACGTTTCGAGTTTTTCCCGCATTGCCCCGACCCTTTTTCCTTTTCGCTCGTTCCCGTGGTGGGGCTCTTTAGCGGGCGCCGGGACCGTGGGTGTCTCTGTGGCTGCGAGTGCCACCATGAACAGCGCCTCCAGCTCGGGAGTCGTCAAGTTTCACGCCACCGCCGGCCACAGCGAGAGCGAGTCTGAGGACTCGCGGGCCATGTTCCACTCCTTCGTTCGGGTGTGTATGTATGTGCTGAGTACAGGGCCAAGGGGGGGGGGGGGTGTACTCATAGTCGTGCATGCTGTAGTCGTTAGACCATTGACCTCGCATCCCTACAAAGCCGGGACGGAGCACGCCGGGTTCTCACCGGACCAGGCTCTCACATCACCAAGCGCGAAGCGCCGTGAGGTATTCGGCGAGTCGCATGAAGGGTGAGCTGCATCCTGCTAAGGGTGTTCGGCATCTTGTGCTTACTTCCTTGCGTACGGATGACAGCTACGTATGACTTAATTTAATTTCTGGTGTTTTCACTTCCAGAGACAGTTGTAAGCACTGTGTAACTGCCTCGAGGATGCTTGACCATTTTAACACAACGTGGTGCGATCATCCCCCTTGCACGGAGCGAGGGTTCTCCACCCCGCACAACATGATCTACTCGACCACCAGTATGGTTACCGCAAAAAAAAAAAAACAGAGGTAAAAAAAAAAACGGTAACCTGGTTGCCGAGTTCACGAAGTGAATTGGCTTGTGTTACAACGTCGTTGCCAAGCGACGAAAACCCAA